AAAAAAAAAAAAAAAAAAAAAAAAGGGGACCGACTGCAACTGAATGGAAAACACAGACTAGACTAAATAGAAACAGACAACAAACAAAGGCCAGCCCAAACTCAACACAGTTAAAACTCAACCACACAATAACGAATGTAATACATTGTAATCAATAGATAAAATGTTCAGGACTTTGCCTCCCACGTCAACTCCATGGATCAAATATGTCACAAGTCCGATGCCTTCAAAATGTTGACCTCATCCAAATGCACCTGGTCCAGAAAGTGTCCAATGCATGTAGGATGTTGAGTAGTGGAGCGAGGCCCAATATGATTCAGAAATGTTTGGGCCATAACCGAGGTAGTCAAGACAACTCACAGGTGCTGCTGCTAGGGTAGCCTGTCAAAATCTTCACTCTAAAAGAGTCTGAATCTTTTAAATGCCCATTCGAACACACCTTCAGCGGGTAGGGAGAGGGAAAGAAGGTGAAAAGTCCACACAAGTATGAAGTGGAGAAGGGGCTGTAAGACAGGGGGGTGATGCTCTCATCACAACAATAGACTTTGGTAAGATTGATATTATTACTGTTTCATTTCGTCACTAAAACTTTTCCGAAACATCAACATGACCAAGACTCACCTAGGATCCCAAGTGTTCCTACCCCATCTTTTCTTGTGAATGGAATCAATGCAAAAATGTTTCTATTTTGAGCAACTGTCAACTGGTAGCCTCACCCTCGTGTTAAATAATAAATTTCTCCTTTTCCCAGCTCATTGCCTTCTTACATCATGCATCTCATGACCGAAAGCCTTAAACCACCAGTACCCCAGGGGGTCTTAGGCCCCCTCTGGGGAGGCTCTGACACAAATGCATATGGACCCACGCGGCGCACCGATTCAGCCACCGTGTTAACGGCATAAAACAGTGGAGGTACAGGTGGTTTAAACCACCCGTACATGACTCCAGCCAACTTGAGAATCAAGATTGAGCCTCTCCTAAAATTTCAGAGGCTCGGGGCAACCCGACCAAAATGGCTGGAGCCACCAGCCAAAACAAAAGGAAATATGTCGCGCTGGCGTTTCGGCAAAACTTGGTGTGCAGGGTGGGTCGAGGCTTGTGGATTTACGCTCAGATGTACTGGTGGTCTAACCACCCGTACATGTGGGCCTGGAGGTGCTCCACCGCGCGCCAAGCTTTGCCAAAATGCCAGTGGCACATTTTTTTATTTTTTTTTGCCTGGCGCTGCCAGCCTTTGTGGTCCGATAGGCCCAGGGGGGGCGGAATTTTCGGAGTGGGAGACAAAACTGTCTTCTGAGAGGCTGGGCCCGTGTACTGGCTGCTTTTTTAAGGGGGAAACTGCTTGTCAAATAGACCTAACTTCTGCCTAAGTGAAAAAGGAGAAGCAGACATACCTGAAGAACTTCCAGTTCCTCTTCAAGCCGCCGATTCTTCAGCTCAAGGCTGTACACCTTCTCCTCATTTTCTCGATGCTGCCTTCTGTAAACTGGACACCTTGCAAAACAATGAAAAATAGGCCGGAGTTTAGGGAAAGGGATCAGACAGGAACCCTCAGAGAAAGGAAAAAAAGTGGACAGCGAGAGAGGGGAGAGGAACACTGCATGCTACTTTGTACTCATCGTTAGAGGAGCAAATGGGTAAATCATCCCTCAAGGCCTCTCATATCGTTAGAGGAGCAAATGGGTAAATCATCCCTCAAGGCCTCTCATAAGATAGGCAATCGCCTGTATATATTTCTGAGCGGCTATGCAGATCTCCCCTTGATGTTGGCCTCAGAAGACTTTGCCTAACCCCACTCTCATACAACATATTCTACCTGCCGTGGGACTTCACATCCCCATCGCACACTATCAAAGGTTCTTTCAATGAATGTAGCATTTGCATCTTCCATCTTGTGTGTGTGCCGTACTATGAACAATAGGCAGAAGAGCCCACATCCTGCCATCTAGTCTAAGGTAAAATACAGTTCCTTCATCAACCTTGTGAATTTTTTTGGTCATATTTTATCTTCTGAACATCTTTCATGTATGAAAGGTAGACAAAGGAATCCCACAGCCTGTTAGCTAGCTGAAATAGACTGACTTCATGACACATACATTCTGAAGGTTAAGAGTAGATTCACGTACACAGAACATGCCTTAACAATCACTCCCTCTATATGAAATTCCCAGCTTTGCCATTGTGAGCTCCTACAGCTGCTTCTTACAAGTACATTGTGATTACACTGATTAGCCAAAAGTGTCACAGCCAGAACACTTCAGGAAGCATAGTTCACAAACCCTTTCTCCACCTGAGAGTCATCTCAGTGAAGGAAGAGAGAGGAATGTAGGCGGGAATTAAATTATTACAACCACAACAAGACACCTCATCCACACAAGATGCTCATCATTATCAGCATGCATCCTGATGCATGTGCCAAAGTCACCCCATCACCAGTGTGCCTGCAGCTACCATTGCATACTAAATAGGCGCAGCATCAAAATGAATCAAGCTCTAAAAAGGATGGTCATGTAGTTATGCGGTACGGTAGTTATGAGAAGCTAAATGAATAACGACAGGAATTGTTAGTGTACAGGCACCGCCAGAAGCGACAAGGGATGACAGAGAATAAGAGCAACATCCAGTGTTAGAGTAAGACGAAGACAAACATCCAGTGTTAGAGAATATAAGAGGAAGACAGAGATGACCATCACACACCTTTCTATTTCATGAATGTTACGTGTATCAGTATGAATGTTACCATCCCCTCTAGCAGACGGATGCGGGGTTTTCTGTTAAAAAAAAAAAAAAAAAAAAGAAGTATGAATGTTGTGTGTATCAGTATCGTATCCGCTGCCACATGAGTTGAGCATTGGTGATAACAGACCATTGCATGCTTATCTCAGTTATTATATTATTTCTGCTTAGTAAGCAAGCATGCCAACTTGTGCGAATGGACAAAGTGTGGGCCCCACCATAATGCACTCTTGCGGTGGAGGTAGGACTGCTCACAGATTTGCATACAAACAAAAACAGTAAAATAGTTAAAAATACACATACACATGCCAGAGCAGAGGTGTACAGCTGAGAAGCAAACAGTTCGCGAAGGATTTCATACATTCAAGATCATTGGCGCCTTCTTTCAGCTTCTGTTCCAAGTGTTTTGCATCTTCAGAAAGTTTTGCCTCCCGCGCTTGCAAATCCGCTACCTAAAGGCGACATGGATTCATTCACAGGCGGATCAGTCACTGAATCATCCATCCCACCTATGTTAAACAACTTAAAGTTTCAATAGCGCAATTGGTCAATCTCTTGGTTGGATTATGAATGTGTGAGAGCAGATGGCACAGACAAATCAGGACAAACATGGGATTCAAGTTGTCCATTCATCAATCTGTATGCAGAAGGAGAGGGTATTAGGACATGCAGATGTCAAACAAACTAATCGAAAGCAAAATTACCATGGCAACAATGGCACAGAGAGCGCCAAATATACGGAAAAGCGCCAACAATCTAATCCAGAGACAATATTTTTTATGCAAAGGGTCTGGAACTGCCATCCTAGTGCAGAGTGGATGTAGAGCACTGTAGACCATACCAATGATCGGGTCGAGATTCTGTAGAGACCTACGTCAGGCTCCAATCAAGACCATTACGCAGGTAAACCCACGAATCCACGATGCGCTTATTTCTGACAATTCACTCTGTGCCTTTGGTGTTGAGAGAAAGTGTGGTGCCAACAACGAGAATGGTATCATACATCAGCAACAGAAACGGAGAAGTCATAACTCATTCCACATGTGCATGTCATTACAAAGCAGAGACGTCTTCTTGCTCCCGCAGCATTGGAAAAAGAAGACGCCCAACTGATGTCAATTACGGTAGAGCTCACACCAAGAAAAAAAAAAGGAAGAAAAGTCCTCGGCTTTGCAACAGAATTGAATACTAAATGTGAAGATCATACCAGTTCTCCATTGGCATGTCATATCCTTTTTTTTCCACTTTTAAACCAAAACTCCGAGGCAGGGGGTTTCACTTAACAAGGCGATAAGAGTGACATGGCATATCCCTAACATGCAATTTGACAGAATATTAACAGTGATCATCACATCCATCACAAATCATGGCATCGGGTCAGCAAAGTGTGCATCCCATCGCCGATGTGAAATATGGTGGAATCATCTGGAATGTTGAATATAACTGGAGGAAGCGTGGAGTAACCTCAATTGAGGCAAGGGATGCTGGACCCGGTTTCCAGCTTCAATATAAGAGCTCCTTTTTAAAGGGTTTTTTTTTTTTTTTTTTTTTTTTTTAATGGTGTAACTCTCAAGGTGAAAACCACATCAGGCCATTATGGGTTCCCCTACATGCATCGACTGACATTCTCTAGAACGTTGGCACGTACCGTGTACCAAAACGATCAACCACTCGTTGAATGTTCTTTTCTCCCTCTGTGTGGTCATTCTCATGTCTTGTTTTTCATGCTCGTAGGCAGTGTTGCACACCCCGACCGTCGGCGACCCTTGACTGGTCGGCTGCCGACCCGCCGACCTTTTAGGTCCAGAACCCCTAATACCTCCACGAACACCCCCATACCCACCCCAAATACCCCCATACACCCCCCCAACACCCACAAACTGGCCCAAAAAACCCTCATACCCCCCCCCGAATACCCCCTATACCACCCCTATACTCCCCTATATCCCCCTATACACCCCCCCTCCACATCCCCAAAAGTTTCTCAGCGGATTTGGGCTGTACTCAGCAAGCGCAGTACAGGTTCCAACTCAGATCTGAAAAAAAGTAGTGGATGGTTGTTTTCTGACTGGTCGGCAGACCACCGACTGGTCGGCCCTACTGGTCGGCTGCAGTACGGTCGGCGGTCGGGGTCGGCGGTCGGGGTCGGCGGTTGGGGTCGGCGGTCGGCAGGGATGCAACCATGCTCGTAGTTGACAAGCAACCAGACTGGCACCCCCCGAATAGAAGGGGTGCGTATGCATGTGTTGAAAGGGGTAAAAGAAAAAATTGATCAACCATCCTCAGATAATTCTGAGTCTCCACCTCTCCTAACATCATCTCATTCCGAAGTGCAGATTAGGTTCAAATTTTACATACATACCTTGTTGTTCAGAAAGGACTCTCTGGCATCAGCAGTACACAGTCTTTCTTCAAGGATCATGTTTTTTGCAGCAATCTCTTTCCTCCTTACTTCACTCTCCTCTAACGCCCGTTCAGAAGACCATACCAACTCTCGAAGGTTGCGCACCTCCACCATGAGTTCCATCTCCCTGATCCCCACACATATTCAAACAGGGTTGCAGCAACACCACATGGACTGCTACATTATAAATGCAGTCTGAATAAATTGGAGCTGCATCCCTATGAAATAAACATCAAAGATCAAAGACAGATTGCTGGTTTCCGTGTTTTCGCAATCTGTGTTTTATTAGCGACCATTCATGGCCAATTTTTTAATGGTGCATACCCCCCACTCCTCTGCAATGTTCGGGGGATTCACGCCTGCACGGTACCAACTGGTGCCCAGTAACAGCATCCTGCCAAGCTCTACTGAGATTACCCAGCGAGGAACGGAGAAGAGGCCTGAGGACACATCTGCTAATCCCAGCATCGGTGTAGACAGCACTCATGCACGGAGAACCCCAACTTGAGCCTTGTTTCCCAGAAGAGAATAAGGGCATGATTGTTTTAGTCAGAAAAACAAACTCCAAAACTGCCGCTTCCAGAAATGTACCTTTGCATGCGCATGTCCCGCATACATATCATGTGTGGAATTCCAAGCCCATTGAGGGCATGATTGTTTTAGTCAGAAAAACAAACTCCAAAACTGCCACTTCCAGAAATGTACCTTTGCGTGCGCATGTCCCGCATACATATCATGTGTGGAATTTCAAGCCCATTGAGGGCAATCTTGTACATTTCCCTTTCCAAAACGGTTTCAGGGTAAGATTATGTAGAGGTAAGCAGGGGCATGCATCACGGCATAACCACTAGCAGCTTTAGGCTTTTAAAGGGTTTTGAGGACAATTTATGAAATTCAAGAGGCCACCAGCAACACCCACACAAGCAAGCTGACCCGAAAGAAAAATTGCATGCCTCACATCAAGGTTGCGGTCTCCGTGTCCTCAGGGTCGATATACCAAGGCCAGTATTTAGAAGTGGCCACACACCTGACCCAGTAGCTTCTTACCGAACCTCAAAATACTAAAATAGTCACAAGAAGTTGGTGTGAGGGCCCCAACATCACCCGCTCTCCCCTGCCCCACACAGCCCACCTGAAATCTCTTCGCGATACTTTGTCTTATGCCACAAACTTGATGTGTTCACTGTGAAAGTAAAGCCTCACATATCAAGTTATATTTGCAACTCTCTCTCTCTCTCTCTCTCTCTCTCTCTCTCTCTCTCTCTCTCTCTCTCTCTCTCTCTCTCTCTCTCTCTCTCTCTCTCTCTCTC